ATAATGATAACATTTAATATACAGTTTAATCTCCAAATGAATAAAATGCAAAAACTATATTTTTTAGTAATTTTTATTTAGATTTAGAAAGAGGAACAAAAACCAAGCTATGCAATTACCATTGTATATGTAAAATATGAACTATCACATGGCACTTAAGTAAGATAATGACTCTAGCTATTTAATTGATACATTTATTAAACATTATTTAGTTGTGAAGCATATTTGTTGTTGTTATGTAAATGTAATAAAGATTATGGCTGTTTGGGATTTGTTTTGACACCGAGGCACAGACAAACTGGTGTCTATCCAGCAGTGAAGTTTATGAGCCAAGCATGGAGGATATCTGACAGGATTTTGGTTCGTCTGCCTGTCTGTCTGGGTAGAAATGTTTTCAAATAACAGAAAAGAGGAGATGCTCCCATGTGTTACTTGTTATGTAGCCAAAGGGCTGCCTGCCTGAGTGCCAAAAAGACTTAAACTCAATAGGCTGTACATCTGATTTGCCAACTAATAAATCCCTGAGCACAGATCTGAATTTACTGACTTTCCCTCCAAAAAATATGAATGTGTTGCAAGTAGAACCATCTTCAGTTTGCTTAAAATCAAGTCTTTGAGAAAATGTAAGGTTGTTATAATGAAACAAAATTAATAAAAACTATATATTTTTTTGTTTTTCAGAATAGAATTATGGTGTTAAGTTTAAAAGCTCCAACTCTGCTTGAAGTTTAAACAATAAAGAGTTTGTTTCCATTAGATTATTCACTGTATATAAAACACGGTCTAAGTGGAACACAGACATTAATTTACAGCAGGTAGTAAAATGTCAAACCTCAACAATGTCTGCCTTTAGTGCTTGGATTCTCATTCCAATTACAATAAAACACATTCTTACCATGAGACATTTATAGCAGAGTTAGGCCTTAAATAATGAAAGTTTGCAGAAACAACCTAAAACACAGTCTGCAAAAATTTTAAATGTGGATTTGTCGGGCAAGAACAGTATTCTGCTATTGACGATGGACAATAAAATGATTGGTACTAAATGTCTTTAGTTGCTTAGAAAGTGGAATTTTTTTTTAATTCATTCTGTTAAAGATGTAAACTGGTGCCTCTCCAGCCACATGATCTATTTTCCAACATTAAGAGTTTTGCTGCATGTAATCAAACCATTATAAGGCATCTCAAACCAAGGTCTAGTGAACTTAATCACACTAGAAGAGAAAAGTTGTCTGTGATGCTGAAGGATGTATAAAAGCTAAAAGAAGATTCTTGAAACTGATTTATCAAACTATTGTACATACTGCAAACCGCTTTCGCAACCTTCAAAACCTCCGCTCGCTAAAACCAACTGCCCCGAAGACATCCACCTGTCTATGGGACTGTGGAACTGCCAATCAGCTGTAAACAAAGCAGACTTCATTACGGCACATGCAAACCACCTGTCATTTGATGCACTGGCTCTCACTGAGACCTGGATCAAACCATGTGTCAATGCTACCCCATCTGCTCTCTCAATTAACCACACTTTCTCCCACACTTCTCGTGCATCTGGCCGAGGTGGTGGAACGGGCATGTTAATGTCCAACAAATGGATATGCAGTCAGTTGCTACCCATCACTAAATACAACTCCTTTGAATACCATGCCATCCAGGTAACTGTACCGAAAAAAATTCTTTTTGGTTGTCATATATCGCCAACCAGATCAACTGGGAGACTTTCTTGATGAACTCGACACCCTGCTCTCCTCCATTCCTGAGCACGACTGTCCCACAATGGTCCTTGGAGACATGAATATTCACCTGGACAATCCCAGCTCATCAGGCTTCCTGTCACTAATGTCATCATTTGATCTAAAACTAGTACAAAGTCCTCACAAAGCTGGAAAAGCACTTGACCTCATTTTCACCAGAAACTGTGTAATAGACACAATCTCTGTCACACCACTGCATCTTTCCGATCATTACTTCATCCGTTTCAGCTCGACTCTACAAGGGAGGTCCACTGCTTCCTCCCCAATGGTCTCATTCTGCCGCAACCTCCGCAATCTGGCACCCAACCAATTCTCCTCTCTTGTTGCCACCACTCTTTCATCTCCCAACACATTTTCTGCTTATGAAGTGAATGATGCCACCGAGTCACTCTGCTCCACACTCTGCTCTTGTCTTAACAACTTGTGCCCTTTAGCCACTAGACCTGCTAGATCCTGTCAGTCGCACCCTTGGCTAAATGATACCCTCCGGTCTCTACGCACCAATCTTAGAGCTGCGGAATGGAAATGGCGCAAAACAAAAGATCCTTGTGATCAATTGAAATTTCATGAATTACTGTCCGCATTCTCTGCCAGCATCACTGATGCAAAGAAAGCTTTCTACACTGACAAAATTCTCAGCTCTACTGACTCTCAGAAACTATTTTCAACATTCAAAACTCTGCACAACCCTCCTTCTCCACCTCCAACCAACAATCTATCAGCTAACACCTTTGCCTCATTCTTCACTGACAAAGTGGCAGCTATAAGCAAACAGTTTACTCAACTGGCCACTCCTGAACATTCGCTACCACAAACCCCTTCTAGCCCAACCATCTCAAGCCCTACTGCTTCATTTTCCTCTTTTTCCCCTGTCACTGAGAACTGTGTCCAAGCTTCTCACGTGCAGCCGCCCTACTACATGCCCACTGGACCCCATTCTGACTAAGCTGCTCCAAGCTATTGCTTCTACAGTAGCCGCAGCAGTCACACGTGATCAATGCTTCACTGACATCCAGTACATTTCCCACCTCTCTCAAGCATGCTCAGGTTAAACCGCTGCTAAAAAAAAAAACCTCTCTTCCTCCAAATCATGTGGAGAACTACCGACTTATCTCTCTCCTCCCTTTTCCATCCAAAATCATTGAAAGGGTGGCTTTCAAGCAGATCACAGAATACCTCTCTCAAAACTGTCTGCTTGACCCTTACCAGTCTGTGTTCAAAAAGGGCCACTCCACTGAAACTGCTCTGTTAGCAGTGACGGAATCCTTAAAAGAAGCTAGAGTGACTGCCAAATCCTCAGTGCTTATCCTGCTCGACTTATCGGCTGCATTAGACACTGTCAACCATAGCTTCCTGTTGTCCACACTCTCTAGCATGGGCATCACAGAGAAAGCACATGCCTGGTTTGAATCATACCTCACAGGACGATCATACATTCATGGGCTGCATGGTGGCGCAGTGGTTAGCACTGTTGCCTCGCAGCACAAAGGTTGCAGGTTCGAAACTCTGCTGCGGCCTTTCTGCGTGGAGTTGTGTGTTCTCCCCATGCATGTGTGGGTTTCCTCCAGGTACTCCGGTTTCCCCCACAGATCACAACATGCCCTAAAGGTTATAAATTGTAAGTCGCTTTGGATAAAAGCATCTGATAAATACATAAACATAAACATTCAGTGCATCTTGGCTTGGACAATCCTCTACCGTGCACCATCTTGCCACAGGAGTCCCCCAGGGCTCTGTACTAGGACCTCTTCTCTTTGCCATATACACCACCTCACTGGGTGAGATCATTCGATCACATGGCTTCTCCTACCACTGCTATGCAGACGACACCCAGCTCTATCTGTCATTTCCATCGGACGACCACACTGTCTCTGCACGAATATCAAACTGTCTCTCTGACATATCAAAATGGATGAAATCCCACCATCTCCAACTCAACCTCGCTAAAACTGAATTACTTGTCATCCCAGCAAAACCATCCATACAGCACAATGTCTCAATCCAAAATGACTTCCTATCTCTGACTCCTTCAAAGGCAGTTCGAAATCTGGGTGTTGTGATTGATGAACACCTGACCTTTAAAGACCATGTTACCTCTGTTGCTCATTCATGCTGCTTTGCGCTGTATAACATATGAAAGATCAGACCATACTTAACACAACATGCCACCCAGCTCCTGGTGCAATCTACTGTTATCTCCCGCCTCGATTACTGCAATGCCCTTCTAACTGGTCTTCCAGCCTGCACTGTGAGACCTCTTCAAATGGTCCAGAACGCAGCGGCGCATCTGGTCTTCAATCAGCCAAAAAGAGCACACGTCACCCCTCTGTTCATTGAGCTCCACTGGCTACCGCTAGCAGCACGCATCAAATTCAAATTGCTAACACTAGCATACAAAGTCCGAGATGATACGGCTCCCATCTACCTGAATCCTCTTGCAAAGGCTTACGTCTCGGCCCGGCCGCTCCGGTCATCACAGGATTGTTGGCTAGCAGTGCCCACACCACGCTCAGGACAATCCAGACTCTTTTCATGCATCGTTCCACAAATGTGGAATGACCTTCCAAGCACCAGAACTGCGGCTTCCTTTTCAATTTTTAAGAAACTCCTGAAGACCCTGCTCTTCAGAGAGCATCTTCTAAACTAGCACCCTCCCTGCCCCCCCCCCCCCCCCCCACACACACACACACACACACACACACATACACTCCTTTGTTCCCTCCTCTCCATGATTGAAGTCAAGTTGTTGTTATTGTTGTTGATAGCCTCAAGGGCAACATGCCGATTAACATAAACATAAACACACTATCATCAATTTACAAACTAATGGTGGTGATAAAATATTCATTATTGTCTTGTTTCGGGGAAGAAAGCAAGGATAATTAATTGTATAATGTTTTTGTCTACAGTGTAGCGTTAGACTTTATAGTGTAACTACTAGGGTTGTGAGAGATAAACCGATGCGACCGGATAATCTGTTAACAAGTGAGAGATTTGGGTGCATCGGTAGCAGCCTCCTCAATCGATAGGGAAAAGACCTGAACTCATAGATGAATCGGTTCTAGAGTCATCGATCGGGCATCGCGAGATTTTGAGTCGGTTGGCAGCATCATACGTAGGCCAGGTGCCAGAATCGCTAAAATATTGCGAGAGCTCAAGCTACCCCACAACCCCAAAGAAGCAGCTACCCCGCTAAACACGATAGCTGCCAGTGACTAGCTGTTAGCTCAAATGACAACACGAAAAATGGAGGAGGCGGAGACCAACAACATTAGCCTGGGCGAAAGAGGTGATAATACACCGAGACAGATTTTCAACGCACCGGGAAAACAAAAATCCAAGGTTTGGACAGTGTTTGGGTTTTATAAGACGGCGGGGAAGCTCGACAGAAGCCATGCTATTTGTAAACTTTGTAGAGCCTCGTTGACCTACTCCGGGAGCATTACAAATCTGGACCAGCATGCAAAGAGAAAACACGGTGAAGAGTACGGTGAGTTTACTGAGCAGAAGCGTGTAGGAACCAGTGGCAAACAGGCAAGGACGGAGAATGCCATTCCTACTTTTTTCCAGCGACTTGGTCAAAACTCAGCACGCGCTAGGGAAATCACGGCATCAATAACACGTTTTATTGCCAAAGGATTATGTCCTTACAATATTGTCGAGTGGGAAGGATTTCAAGATTTGATTCATACATTAGAGCCCAGATATAAGATACCGTCCCGAAATCATATCACCAACACGTGTATGCCAGCGCTGTATGCCCAGGTTAAGAGCCAAGTTGAAGAAAAACTGGCAAAAGCAGAAAGAGTGGCAATAACTACTGATGCTTGGACGTCATGTGCGACGGAGTCATATGTGACCATCACAGCCCACCACATCGCTCCGGATTGGGAATTAAATGTTTACGTCTTACAGACCCGGGCATTCAAAGGATCCCACACTGGGAAGAATGTAGGTGCTCTGCTGAAACAGGCATGTGCTGACTGGAAGATTCTAGATAAAGAGCCAGCTCTGGTAACTGACAACGCCACAAACATGGTTTTAGCTGGCGTAGAAGCAGAAATGACTCCTCACCTCATGTGCTTTGCACACACTATAAATCTGGCCACACAGAAAGCCTTCAAAGTGGACACAGTAGCAAGGTTGCTGGGAAAGGTGAGAAGAGTGGTTGGCTTTTTTCACCGCAGTGTCAGGGCAGCAGAAATTCTACAAGACAAACAGAAACAACTTGCTTTGCCTACCCACAAACTCATTCAAGACGTGTCCACCCGGTGGAATAGTACCCAGATTATGCTTGAACGGATACTTGAACAACAGCCTGCCATCTCTGCTGCACTCATGTCCAGGGATCTCAGAAGAGGAGAAGAGCTTAACACTCTGAAGGACAAAGACTTCTGTGATGTTGAAGACATTGTGAAGCTGATGGTGCCAGTCAAACTTGTGACGATCAGCATGTGTGAAGACAAGCGGCCCACACTCTCAGTGATTTCCCCTGTCAGAGAAAAGCTTAAAAAGACATTTGAAGCAGCAGATGAAGACTCGGTAGTAATCAGAGAGATGAAACAAGCATTCAGAGAGGACTTGGAGAAGCGCTACACTGGCCTGGAGGATCTGTTCCACACTGCAGCAGCTCTGGACCCCCGCTTCAAGTCTCTGCCCTTCCTAACAGACCATGATGCTGAGCGGACGTTCGCAAACATAACAGCAAAAGCTACATCCCTGCATAACAAGGTACACCTGGAAACACCTCATCATTTAATTAATTATGTTAAAATACACTGTATTGTGTATTTTGTGTTGTGTAAATGAGCTTTGTTCTAAAAATACACATTACAGTGCATTGTATTAATCTATAATTTGGTAATATTAGATTTATTCTGACTACTGTTAATGTTTGTTTGATTTTGTACACAAGCTGTCTTTTATATTTCATTTTTCTAGGCTTTGGCAACAGGGGATCCAATCCATGGAGGCCCACTGCAGACCACTCCATGCCAGACTGAACCTGCCCTTGGAGAGCTGGACATCAGGATTGATGCCCCTCAGACCCAACATGAGCCAGAAGGTTTGTATATTTTATACCGTGATAAATAATGGGTTGAAACTGGTATAAACTCATGCTACAGATCTAAAATATTACCATATTACAACAATGCATAAAATATGAGAATTAGCATGCAAAGACCGGGTTTAATCATATGTTTACAAGAGTAATTCATTCTGAACATCAGATGAAGAAAGATATGATTGGGTTATGTCAGCTACAAAGTAAAGCACCACTTAGGCATGGCAAACAAAGTCAGTAACATATGGTAATTGTTTTTTTGTTTTTTAGATGATCTCCCTCCTTTCAAAAAGAAGAAAATATCTGCCTTGGACCAGCTGTTGGGAAAAGACTTTGACGTGAGGATGGCGGCTACATCTGTGAGAGACAAGGCCAGTGAAGAAGTCAAAAGGTACAGAGAGCGTGCTTCATTGCCTCTGGAAGAAAATCTTCTACAGTGGTGGAAAGAGCAGCAGGACTTGCCACTGCTGTCATCTCTTGCTAAAAGATACCTCTGCATCCCAGCCACTAGTGTGGCCTCTGAACGGGTGTTCAGTACTGCTGGAGATATTGTTTCTACAAAACGCAGCCTACTCAAACATGAGCATGTGGATCAGCTCATTTTCCTGAAGAAAAATCTGCCCTCCAAAAAAAACTGAACAGTGATCAGGAGTAAAATGACAGAGAACATTCACAGGCGTTCTGTAAGTGAAGTGAGCTGTTTTTCAGTTTCTGATTGGATAGTGATACCTTTATCTGGTCAAAAAGCAGCAGTTTGATTTTAGTTATATTTATTTACGCTAATTTTGTGCATGAAGCACTTGCCACTGTTGAGCATTGTTAAGTTAAGAATGTTGTTGCTGCTTTGTCGTTCCACTGTGGTTCCCCAGGCTTGAGGCTACATTTTGAGATGAGGCTAATCAGCTAATCATCAGGTTATGGTTTATAGGTGTGTGACTTGTTTACATTAAAATGTTGCACTTTGTTACCTACCTCTATTGTTCAAAACAAGCTCAGGCTGAAATCTTGCACCTTTTTATAACTAGTCTTGCTACTTTTACCTCTGGACTTCCCATCCAGCAATCCAACCACATTTCTCCATGCCTAAAAATAAGTATAGTAGCATGTGGTTTTGGTATTCTGTTTTTCTTTTTTTCTTTTTCCTACAAGTGCCATAAAGCCACAATGCTTAAGACATGTTTTTTTTTTTTTTACATATTTGAAAATAAATGTGGTACTGTCACTTTAACAGAACTGGGTTATTTTCTTTATAAAATATATTCAACAAATATAAACTATAGAATCTAATTGTTTAGTTATTCTTACTGTATCGAATCGTTAAAAATCGAACCGAACCGTTTCGAATCAGTCTGTAATAAAAGGATATCGTTTTTGAATCGAATCGTAACCTGTGCATCTAGATTCATATTGAATCGTTTTTCACAGAGAGATGTGCATCCCTAGTAACTACTGCATATTGAACTATGAAAAATAAATGTGATGATTCCATATAAATATGAAATATCAACCTGATTGATCTTTGAATGTTTAACCAGAAGAGTTTAGAATTCTTTGTTTGTTCAGGGACCATAAACACACTTCGTATTAATTCAGGCAGAGTCAAGTATATAGTTAAAAAAATATTTTTTTTTCTAAACTTCACGACAAACTATGAATAATGATATGTGATGGAGTATGTATGGTGATGGGATGTGTGTTGTAGGTGGTGTAAAGTAGATGTATATCAGAACCTTTGTATCTGAAAGAGATTGTGAATACTGGGTGTAAAAGAATTTGGTCTGCTATAAACTAGAAAGTTGATTATTAATAAAACAACATCAGACGCAATCTGTTGTGTCTACGAACCTTGATTGGAGACCCTCGTTCAGATCCGGAATGTCAGGAAGTCTGGTGGACCTCAAGGCACCGAAGTCCGGTCACTGGCCACTTTGGAGTTCCGCTCGAAAACTGAATAACTCGGGAAGTCACTCTAGTTTTAATAATCTAGAGTTTATCATTTCTGCGAATCAGAATTTGTTTGTCAGCGTTACCAAACATCCCTCCGAAAACCACACCTTCCAGATACAAGCTGTTCTGGTTCTGTGGATAAATAATATTTAAACTTTATGTGAGATGGCCTTAACCTTAATGAACATTGTGTATGACTAGATAATGATTAACTTGTTAAATCAAACAGTACTGATCATAAGACATAAATGGGTCATTGTAAAGAAAATATTCATGTCACGCTGCCTCTTTCACAACCCTCGACATCCTCCGGGGGAGGACCACACACCCACTCAGGCCAACCGAACTCCACTACCCAGCATCCCCAGCGCCAGTCTTCCGGCTCACGTCACCCGCCACATCTACATAAGGAAGTACAGCTCAACGCCGAACCACTCAGTCATTGTTCTAACCGAACCGTGCTTCAAGTTCCGACCAGATCCAACCCGATCACTCAGTCCGTTCTGACAAGATCAGCCCGAGCTACCCAACCTGCTGACTCAAAGTAAGTCAGCTTTGTTACCTTTTGGAGCCGCCGTGCTCTCCTGTCATTATACGGTTGCGCACCCCAGCTCCTAGATTAAACCGCGTGTCAGTCTCGCCCAGCGTCAGTCACTCCACGCTTGGGTCTAAAGACATGCTACATCCCAAACTCTCGCTCCGGTTCAGCTCAGCTCGAGTCAGGCCTTACAATTCATTTCAACTTCACTGAATTAGGCACAGATTATTAAAACATTTCATATAACATCTGGTTCATTCAAATACGTTAATAAATTACTAAAAACCAAAATGAAAAGGGGACAGAAAGAAGAAAAACTTGTTATCTGTCCCTTTTAACTAAAATAACATTAATAAAAATGAATCAACAGTATGATTCTTAATTAATTTGAACAATACAGTTTCTGGACTGGTAGGCCAACACAACCTCAACCCATGAATTGAAAAAATAAATAAATTAAGAGAAAACAAATTACACAGAAAGAAGAATAAAGTTATATACATATACATACATACACATATGCAAACATACACTTGTTCCCTATTTTCGTAGCGTTATGGATGACCGTCTTTCTGGGACAAAGTTCACATTCCAGCTAGGTCACAGCTGGGTCAAAATATAACCTTTATCCACAGATTAAAGCCATCAGGAGCCGGAGTGTCTGAAGAATAATCATCAACCTGACTGTTTATCTGTGTCCATCCCAAGATGAAGGTCATCTTCAACTATTATCAAATAACTTAATAAAAGCTTATTATTATTAAGGTTTATAATAATCATCATAAATAATCATCCTTTTCATATTAAATGTATTTTAATTAATGAAATGACTTATTAACCTTTGGTTAATAATAATTATTATTTATGATAATCAGTAATGTTTATTCAGTAACCAGAAGATGCCTTTGCACGTGTCCAGCTCATGCAGGATTCACTTCAAGGTAAATGCTTCACATTGACCCACATTTCCAGCTTCCTATCGGGAGAGGGGTGTGTTCTGAGGTTTTTGAAAACCAAGAACTTTTGCAGCTTAAGAGTCAGTTCTTGAACCAAGCTGATGCTTTCGTGGCGACGAGAGCATCCCGAGGATTAGGGTCAGCCGCCCAGCCTCAACACAGCTGTTCTGTCACGTCGACAGAATGGCCTCGAATGAATGCACCTGTAACTGCAGCTAACGCTAAGAAAGCCTGAGAACCAGCTAATGCTAAGAGATTCCTTAAGAATCTGCTCGGACGCAAAACCAATTTTTCCTGTGCACCTGACGTCAACTCTTGGACCAGAGCGTCGGTAACTTGGTCATCTGCCGGACCTGAGTGCCCCGAGCAGACAGCTCCCCAGACGTCCGGATCCAACCAGAGGGTCGTCTAATAGGTGAGATAGAACACAGAAAGCGTCTGTATGCATTTATTTATATCTAAGAATCTAAGGTTAGCTGCAAACCAACGCTTCACCAAGAACTACTCTCTCTCTCTCTGAAAGAAAGCTCTGAGAACTTCATTCACGCATCCAAACTCACCATTCTCAAATTAGTTTTCCATCCAACACAGGGGTTTGCTTTTAAACAAGTTTAATATCAAAGCTGTTAAAAATTGTCATTAAAATTGCCATCCATGAATTGTCATTTTATAATTGTCGTTTCAAATCTTTAAGTTTAAAATTGTTGGTTATAAAACTTCTTCATTTTTAAACTTGCCTCCTTATTGAAACGGAACACAGAAAAGGTATACTATTTCTGGTTATTTGAAAGCAAAGATCCTCGTTTCTGATTCAAAAATAACTTTTGCTATTAAATTTAATTATCTAAATTAAACATTAATCTTTGGATTAAAATTAGATCAAACAGGTTGATGTATGAACTTAGATCGATATATAAGTATCCGGGATATTTATATATATGATATAAGCTTCATAGGTTAATCTGATTGGTCATTTTCGGAATCTCCACTGAATAGAAACAGAGGTGATTTCAGTATGCAGATTTAACTCTACAGGGGGTTATTATTCCAGATAAACATAGAAATTATATTGTCAACAGATTGGAAAAAAATGTGTCAGGTAAATAGGAATGTTTTGGAACAGATAGAAAAGTCTTGGCAAAAAGGACATCTTAATAATGTTTATTCTACCACTTAAAGAGAGGGGTGGCATGTCCCAGACTCTAACATCTTGTTTCAATCGATCTATGAGGGGCAAAAAATTATATTTATAAAGATCCTTGTAATTTAGGGATATCCAAATTCCTAGATATTTAAACCTTTTAGTATTAATTTTGAAAGGTGTGGAACCAAAGGAAGTACTTCTTGCAGCCAAATTAATTGGTATCAGTTCACTTTTCTGGATATAAATTTTATAACCAGATATTCTACCAAATCTATGCAAAACGTTCAGTATATGAGGAAGGCTGTTCATAGGATCACAAACATACAAAAGCAAGTCATCAGCATAAAGAGAAAGCTTGCACTCTTGACCACCGCGAGTAATCCCTTTAATATTAATATCCTGTCGGACAGCGAGTGCTAAGGGTTCTATGGCTGTTGCGAAGAGGAACGGTGACAATGGACAACCCTGTCTAATGCCCCTCTGTAGGTCAAATAAAGCAGAAATGTAGTTATTTTTTTCGGACAGCTGCCATTGGTGATGAATAGAGAATTTTAATCCAAGATAAAACCTTTTTACCAAAACCAAATTTTTCGAGAGTATAAAACAGATAGTTCCATTCCACGCGGTCAAACGCCTTCTCCGCGTCCAATGATAGCACTGTCTCTGGTGTGGCTTATGTGAAGGGGTTATAAAGAATATTGAAAAGACGCCTGAGATTAAAAAACAAATATCTACCCTTCATGAAGCCACTTTGGTCGGATGCTATGATCGAGGGGAGAGAGTGTTCTAAACGTCGGGCGAGCAGTTTAGTAAGGATTTTGACATCCGTGTTAAGAAGAGATATAGGCCGATATGAACTGAAATTACTGGGATTTTTATCATTCTTCAGAATAAGAGGAATGGTGGCTTCCCGCATAGTAGTGGTGAGAGAATTTGTTGAGAGGGATTCATTAAATACAGAGAGTAAAAGTGGGACAAGTACCCCATAGAAAGTTTTAAAAATTCAGATGGAAACCCATCTGGGCCTGGTGATTTTCCACTTTGCATGCTCTTTATAGCTGCAATCAGTTCTCCTGTTCAAATATTCTCTTCCATCATGGCAATTGATTCTGGTTTTAACTGGGGAACGTCCACATCATGAAAAAAGGAGTCTAGTATGGAATTCTCCTGGAGCGACTCCGAGGTATACAACCTTGAGTAGTAGTTGTAGAAACACCTGTTGATTTCAAAGTGATCTGTGTGTTTCATGTTTTGCTCATCATTAACTTTAGGTTACTGTCGTAACCCCGGTTCTCTGAGTAACATGAGTGAGATGTCTCACTATGGGATACGCCACTCCGCGGATTCCTCAGAAGCACTTATCTCAATACGCCAATCCTGATTGGCCAGTGACCGTGACGTACGCGTCACCTGCTACTATAAGTAGCAAGCGTCCCAACGCACGCACCATTCAAGATAAACACCTCTTCTCACTTCGCCCAGCAAGAAGGGTTGTCTGGTGAGACATCTCACTCATGTTACTCAGAGAACCGGGGTTACGACAGTAACCTAAAGTTCTCTTTCTTAACATTCGTTTCGATGTCTCACTATGGGATATGGAGACTCCCGTATTGCCAGACAGCTTATCCAGCGATCACCAACCTACAGGGATACGTCTTGGCCCGCCAAAGACCCCACACTCAGAATCGTGTGAGTCATTGCAGGGACCGAAACATCAAGCTTATAGAAGCGTGCAAATGCAAGTGGAGAAGCCCAACTTGCTGCAGCACAAATCTCCTGGATTGACAGCCCCCGAAAAAGGGCCCAAGAGGCAGACAGGCCCCTAGTAGAATGGGCCCTGAGCCCAACAGGTGCCTGAATGCCCTGACAGGAGTAAGCCATAGAAATAGCCTCCACAATCCAGTGGGAAAGCTGCTGCTTTGTGACGGGTTTCCCCTTACGAGGCTCACCCCATGACACAAAAAGCTGGTCCCCCCTGCGAAGGTTCTCCGTCCGATTCACATACTCCTTGAGCGCGCGAATCGGACACAGCTTGTGCCACCGCTCCTCCTCAGGAGAGGAGAAGGGTGGTGGGTAGAAAGCTGTGAGGATAATAGGAGAAAAGGAGCCCACCACCTTAGGCACAAAGGCAGGGTTGGGCTTCAGGGACACCTTCATGTCACCGGGTGCAAACTGGGTGCAGGATGGGTGCACAGAGAGAGCCTGTAAGTCACTAACTCGCTTTGCAGATACCAAAGCCAGGAGTAGCACCACCTTAAGAGACAGGATCTTAAGGTCCAGGCTGTCCATAGGTTCAAATGGAGGCCCGGAGAGGGCCGACAGCACCAAGGACAGATCCCATGAGGGCACCAGGGGTCGAGACACAGGGAGAAGCCTGCGCGCGCCCCTCATGAAGCTACACACCAGGGGGTGTTGACCTGCCAATTTCTTCCCAAAACCCAAGTGTCGGGCGGAAATGGCTGCTAGGTACACTTTAATGGTGGAGAAAGCCTTCTTCCCATCCATCAAGTCTTGCAGGAAAGACAGAATGATGTTCACCGGGCATTGGAAGGGTGAGACCTCCCTACCCTGACACCAGGCTTCAAACACCCTCCATTTACAGTCATATAGGGACCTAGTGGAGGGGGCCCTAGCATTCTGAATGGTTCGAATGACTGCCTGGGGCAGCTCTGCAGACACTAGCCCGCACCCCTCAGGGGCCAGGCCCACAGGGCCAGCCGTTCTGGATGAGGGTGGAAGATCGAGCCTCCCGCTTGGGACACCAGGTCCCTGCGAAGCGGCAGTTTCCAAGGTTGGCCCTCCAGGAGTTGGAAAATGTCCGCCACCCAATGCATGGCTGGCCAGTATGGGGCCACCAGAATGAGAGTGTGGCGCTGGGTTCGTACCCTCAGCAAGGTGGGTGGTATCAGGGCCACTGGGGGAAAAGCGTAAAGCAGTCTCCGTGGCCAGTCGTGCGCCAGCACGTCCACGCCGAGTGGAGCGTCTCGGTCGCGCAGGGAGAAAAACAGTGGACACTGAGCATTCTCCTTGGAGGCAAAAAGATCCACTACGGCTGTGCCGAACCGGATCCAAATCTGTTCCAACACAGCTGGATGCAGGCTCCAATCCCCGTACAGGGGTGTCTCTCTGGACAACAGATCCGCCCCCCGATTCAGAACACCTGGGACATGGGTGGCTCTGGTTGAGAGGAGATGCCTGCTGCACCATAGGATCAGTCTGCGTGCCAGCGTGTGTAACCGCATGGAGCGCAGCCCCCCTGGCGGTTTATATAAGCCACAGTCGTGGTGTTGTCTGTTCTCACTAGGACATGATGGCCGGAGAGAAAAGGCAGGAAGCGCCTCAGGGCCAGAAAGACCGCAAGGAGTTCCAGATAATTTATGTGTGTCCCCCAGAGCTCTCTGCTCCACACACCCCTGACAGAGCGACCATCCAGGAGCCCCCCCCCCCCAACCTGACAGGCTCGCATCTGTCGTGACCACTTTCCTCACGAGAACCAACCCCAAAGGCACCCCCTGTGCCAAGAGGGAGGGGTGACGCCAACAGCGGAGCGCCGCGACGCACGCTGCAGAGACCGTCACCCTGCGCGCTTTGTGGCGCACTGGAGAGAGACCCAGAGAAGCCACCCAGCGTTGAAAATCTCTCATGTGTAGACGGCCGAGTGGTACCACTGAAATAGCCGAGGCCATGAGACCCACAAGCCTGAGGCATAACGCAAACCGCACCGAACTGTGTAGGCGGAAGCGCGCCAGGCAGAGCGAGAGCGCGTTCACGCGCGGTGTCGAGAGACGGGCTGTTAACGCCCCTGAGTCCAGATTCAGACCTAGAAAGGTTATTTTCTGGGAGGGGAGTAAAGCGCTTTTCTGCCAGTTTATTCTGAAACCCAGACCACACAAGTGATGGATCACAACCAGCGTGTTTGACGCTGCCTCCTCTCTGGATCGTGCCAGCAGGAGCCAGTCATCTAAATACGTGGCCAGCCGAATGCCCCTCCCTCTCAGAGGGGCGATCGCTGCCTCCGTACACCTGACAAACACCCTCGGGCTCAGCGAGAGGCCGAATGGGAGCACGGCGTATTCGTAACACACTCCCTGAAAGGCAAACCTCAGAAATTTCCTGTGTGGAGGGTACACAGGAATATGAAAGTATGCGTCCCTCAGGTCGATTGAGGTGAACCAGTCGTTCTGGTGAATCAGACGCAAAAGGGATGAGAGCGTGAGCATTTTGAATCTGTACTTTCTGAGGCATCGGTTCAGGGCCCTCAGATCCAGGATCGGGCAAATCCCGGTCCCTCCCCGTTTCGGGACCAGGAAGTACCTGGAGTAGAAACCGCTCTGAGACCGATCGGGAGGCACAATGCATATCGTTCCCTTCTCCAGCAGGGAGGAGATTTCTCCCTGAAGGATGTGAGCTGACGTCCCCTGGGCGTGGGAGAACACTACGCCGGAGAATCGAGGAGGAACTGAGGCGAATTGGAGCCTGTAACCTCTCGAAATAGTTCTCAGCACCCAACGTGAAGCAGAAACCGCTGTCCATTCCTCCATGTGAGTGGAGAGCGGTGACACAGCCGTGACACACGGAGCAGCAGCTCCCTCCAGAGGTTGTGGGGCAGCGGTGCTCGTGGCAACCACTGCGCATGCGCGGGGGCTTTGTGCTTTGACGGCCCATGCGTACGGGGACGACCCGTGGCTGGTGGGTAAGTCCGCCAGGGGCCGCCCCCGCCTGGTTCCGCTCATGGGTAACATTTTTATTGATTTTTGCTGCGTCCTTGACATTTCGTCTGGATGCGTCAGCGAACGTTTTAATGCTCCTTGAGCGTGACATGTTTGTAAAAAACAGTGTGAGTGCTTGTGACGTGTGTTTTGAGCCGGCACAGCCGGCTGCACGTCCTGGCCCCACCCTGGACCGCTTGGGGACTCTGCCGGAGGGGTTCCGTGAGGGGGGAGAAGGCACCATGGCAACATCGAACAGGAGGAGCTGGCGAACGGGGAACTGCCAGCTGCAGCGTCGGGAGGGAAAGAACTCCGTCAGGCTGCCCTCTTCTTCTTCCTCACCTGCTGACCGCCGGGTCGGGTGGGTTGTCCCGACGGCGGAGCGGCTTGGTTGCCGGATCTCTGAGGCCAAACTGGTCGAAGCGCTGAGCCCGAAGGAGCTGGTTGGACAGCTTGAGGCTTCGGGCGCTTTGGGATCCGGAACTGAGGCTGGGCTCTGGCAGCTGCCTGAGGAAGGTTTGGCCGAGCCGGCAGCGCCGGTGAGGGCTTACGGGGAAGGCAGAGATGAAGGGCTTCATCCTCTTTCTTTTTGGCCTCACACCGTTGCTGCATTGATGCCAGGGCAGAGCCAAAAATGCCTTCAGGCACGATTGGCATGTCCAAAATGTCCTCCTTCTCTCTATCAGAGAGGTTGGTGAGGTTCAGCCATCGTGCACGTTCTTGAAGCACCATCATGCCCATAGCTTTAGCCGTAGCCTGGACCGCGCAGCGCTGCACACGCAGGCAGATGTCGGTCAGTACGGTGATTTCCTCCCACACCTCCGGGTCCGGCTTCGTATTCATGTCCTCACAGAGCTCGGCTTGGTACGCCGAGAGCATGGAGGAGACGTTCAAAGCTCGGACCGAGATGGCGGCAGCCTTGTACGCCCTCTCGTTCAGCGCCGACTGGAAGCGGTCCGCCTTCGCAGGGAGAGCGGGAGGCCTGGAGGAAGTTGCCGAGAGCCGTGGGTGCAGGTGTGCTGCAACCAGCGGTTCCATCGGCGGCATGCGAAGCATGCCAGCCTTCTCCATCCCCTCGAAGTCCAGCGAGGAGGCTCCTTGGACAGGAGACCTGGAGCTGAAAGGGCCTTGTGGCCTGAGGCAGCTTCTTTCCCTCGTAGCGGGATCTGACAGCCTCAGTGACCACGGTGGGCCTAGGGATGTTGAGCCTGGTCGCAGCGCGTCGGCAGACTGACTGCATGTCCAGGTGGGCGGCCGGAGAAGCCGCTCCATCCCTTGGAGAGGACGGAAAGCTAGGCATGGAGGCCTGAGCGATGGGGAGAAAAACGTCGTCATCCTCGTCCTCCTCTGAAATGAGGAGTTCCGAGGTGTCCTCGTCGTCTCCGTAGTCCAACTCCAACACGTCCTCGACGGGGTGGCTCGGACCGGCCGGTTCGAGCTGTGAGCCCAAGCTGAGTTCGGCACACGGTTCCGGCTCCGGGAGGACATGTTCGCTGGCGTCCCCAGGCGGTGGCCCAGGGGCCGGCAGGCAAGGGTCCTTCCCCGACAGGCTAGCTTGGCGCGCTAGCCGCCGGCGAAGGCTCTTCAGGGTGAAGCAAGCGCAGCTCTCACATGACCCAGGGACTTCCAATGCCAGCTGGGCGTGTTCCAGCCCGAGGCAGCTCGAGCAGACCTTGTGCGGGTCTTTGCTTGAGATTTTGTTCCCACAGGTACAGAGGCGAGCTCCTGCGCCGTCGACTCCTCTGGTGGGAGGAGCGGCTTCCATGCTGGCTAACTGGTGTGTTAGCAAGAGAACGAACAGATGCACTGGAGTGTGAAGCTGCTCGTTATGCCCCGAACCTATGGTGAAGGTCAGGACAGGACGGTAAGTTAACGTTCGGCGACGGAGAGAATATTAGCTGGCTCCGTCTGTGAACAGTTGAGTTAACTTACCTTAGAGATAAGCGACCACCGAAGCGAGAAGAGGTGATTGAATGGTGCGTGCGTTGGGACGCTTGCTACTTATAGTAGCAGGTGACGCGTACGTCACGGTCACTGGCCAATCAGGATTGGCGTATTGAGATAAGTGCTTCTGAGGAATCCGCGGAGTGGCGTATCCCATAGTGAGACATCGAAACGAATGTTAAGAAAGAGAACTTCCGATATATACTGGTTAGCAGTTCTCTGACACAGCTGGTGTGCCAAAACTTTACCTGCTCTTTCCCCATGTTCATAATACTTATGCCTGGATTTCCAAATCAAATTTTCTGCTTGGTGGGTCGAAAGGAGGTAAAATTCCATTTTGAGAGTCAGGCGCTGTTTGTGCAAAGTATCTGAAGGTGAGGCACTGTACAACAGATCTAATTTCAAAATTTCATCTGCCAATTACATCAGCCAACTTGTACGCTCCTTCCTTTGCCTTGCACAATATGAAATAACCTGTCCTCTCAAATATGCTTTTAATGATTCCCAAATTAAAGAGTATGAAACCCCTGGAGTCTGATTCTGGGCAAGAAAAAATTCTATTTCCGAAATAATAAAAGTCACAAAGCCATCATCAGAAAGAAGCCGAGGATTGAGTCTCCAAGGTCAGTGACCGAGGCTACCTGTCATGGTCTGCGTCAGCCCCCTTCCTTTATGTGCCTCCTGGTGTCCTCCATCCCTCTCTAGATTCCCTCTTGTGTCCCTTTGTTCCCCCAGCTCCCCTTGTGCTCTCTTAGCGCCCTCATGTGTCCTTGTCTGCATCCCTGTTATGTGTCTTATGTTGTAGCCCTTTGGCGCCCTCTTGTGTCCTTTTTCTGTGTCAGTTTCTGTGTGTCAGTTTGTGTGTCAGTCTAGTGTCTGATGTTATCTTTTACTGTTTCCTCCCAGGTCAGCTCCAGCCTCGTTGTCCCCAGCTCAGTGTGTGTGTATGTACTATGTCCTCCTCCAGCTAGTTTGTGTGAGTCCTTCCCTCTGTCTTTAGGAAATTGTTGTTTAGTTTTGTGTTAAGGTATTTGCCATCCTCTGTTTCTGTTTTCCCCATTGAGTTGATTACTGTCTCCTGCCTTCCCTCCAGCAGCTCACCCCACACACCTGCTTCCTGTTTCCCTGATTGCTCCTCCCAGTGTATTTAAGCCCTGTCTGTCTCTGTGTTCTTGTCGGTCCATTGTTGCTTGTCAGCGTTATTAGTCCTGTCAGTCTGCTCGTTCCTCTGGTGTTTTTTGACTCCCTGGATTCTTGGATTTTGGCTCCCTCCCTGTTCTTGGATTTATTCTTTATTTTGGACACATCCTACAATAAAAGGATTTTCTTTATTTCAATTCCTGCCTCGTGTCATCCTGGGTTTTGCAATTTGGGTCCTACTCTCCTAAACGTGACAGAATGGACCGACCAACCAGGACCCAGCGGCCACGGATGTACACCTTCCACGGCGACCCGGACTCCTGTAAGACTTTTCTTCTGGACTTTGTTATGCTTCATGACACGGACACGCCAGACATTGATCTGGTAATTAACCTGGTGTTCCTCCTAAGGGGGAGAGCTCTGCAATGGGCCAGCCTATATTTTGATCAGAATCCAATTCAGGAGTTGGTGTTTTGGGACTTCGCAGAGGATCTGCTGGACGCCTGCAGCAGCCCACAGTTTCCCTCCTTCTCTGTGGATTATAATCCATCAGCAAGCGCCATATTAAGAGCTGCCTTCTCAGCGTCTAAAAAGCACCATGCATCCACATCTCCGCCTGGTTCTGACAGCACCACCACTTCCTCTACGGTGGGCTGCCACCACACTTCTCCAACTGTTCCTGCCATCTCCATAACTCAACCTCCTATGGTCTGTGTCACCACACCTCCACCAGTTCCAGAGAGCTCTACCACACCCTCACCTGGTCCCGACAGCACCACCACTTCCTCTCTGGTGGGCTGTATCTCATCCTCAGTGCCTGCCAGCGTCACCTCCACACTTCTGTTGACCCAAGACTCCCCACGTCGACGACGTCGCCGCAGCCGCCGTCAGAGGTCTTCTGGGGCCAAAGCAGCAACAGTTCAGGTGGCTCCTGCTCCAGCGGTGGTCCCGAGGGTCGCATCGCATCCTGCTCCAGCGGTGGTCCCGAGGGTCGCATCGCATCCTGCTCCAGCGGTGGTCCCGAGGGTCGCATCGCGTCCTGCTCCAGCGGTGGTCCCGAGGGTCGCATCGCGTCCTGCTCCAGCGGTGGTCCCGAGGGTCGCATCGCGTCCTGCTCCGATGGTGGTCCCGAGGGTCGCATCGCGTCCTGCTCCGACGGTGGTCCCGAGGGTCGCATCGCATCCTGCTCCGGCGGTGGTTCCGGGGGACGCATCGCACCCTGCCTCGGCAGAGGAGGATGCACGGGCTTCGGTCCAGCCCATCCATGGGGCCCCGGGTCAGAAGTCAACGCCCCTGGACCCGAAGTCGATGGTGGTCAACGGCCCTTCCTGTTCTGAAGTCGACGCCCCTTCCTGTTCTGAAGTCGACGCCCCTTCCTGTTCTGAAGTCGACGCCCCTTCCTGTTCTGAAGTCGACGCCCCTTCCTGTTCTGAAGTCGACGCCCCTGATGACGACGTGTCCGAAGTCGTCGCCCCTTCCTGTTCTGAAGTCGACGCCCCTGATGACGACGTCGCCGCCGCCTCTGATGACGTCCCCTCTGACGACGTCGCCGCCACCTCTGACGACGTCGCCGCCGCCTCTGATGACGTCCCCTCTGACGACGTGGCCGCCACCTCTGATGACGTCCCCTCTGACGACGTCGCCGCCACCTCTGATGACGTCCCCTCTGACGACGTCGCCGCCGCCTCTGATGACGTCCCATCTGACGACGTCGCCGCCGCCTCTGATGACGTCCCCGCAGTCGTCTCCTCTGAAGACGTCCCCGCAGTCGTCTCCTCTGAGGACGTCCCCGCAGTCGTCTCCTCTGAGGACGTCCCCGCAGTCGTCTCCTCTGAGGACGTCCCCGCAGTCGTCTCCTCTGAGGACGTCCCCGCAGTCGTCTCCTCTGAGGACGTCCCCGCAGTCGTCTCCTCTGAGGACGTCCCCGCAGTCGTCTCCTCTGAGGACGTCCCCGCAGTCGTCTCCTCTGAGGACGTCCCCGCAGTCGTCTCCTCTGAGGACGTCCCCGCAGTCGTCTCCTCTGATGACGTCCCCGCAGTCGTCTCCTCTGATGACGTCCCCGCAGTCGTCTCCTCTGATGACGTCCCCGCAGTCGTCTCCTCTGATGACGTCCCTGCAGTCGTCTCCTCTGACGTCGCCGCCACCTCTGATGATGTTCCCGCAGTCGGCTCGTCTGATGGCGTCGCCTCTCCTGATGTCGGCTCGTCTGATGGCGTCGCCTCTCCTGATGTCGGCTCGTCTGATGGCGTCGCCTCTCCTGATGTCGGCTCGTCGGATGGCGTCGCCTCTCCTGATGTCGGCTCGTCGGATGGCGTCGCCTCTCCTGATGTCGGATGACGTCGCCTCCCCTGATGTCTGATGACGTCGCCTCCCCTGATGTCTGATGACGTCGCCTCCCCTGATGTCTGATGACGTCGCCTCCCCTGATGTCTGATGACGTCGCCTCCCCTGATGTCTGATGACGTCGCCTCCCCTGATGTCTGATGACGTCGCCTCCCCTGATGTCGGCTCGTCTGATGACGTCGCCTCTGGTCTGATGTCTCTTCTGTCTCCAGTTCCAGTGGTGATTCTGAAGGTCGCACCGGTCCAGCCTGTGTCCCCAGCCCAGCCTGCAGGGCTCCTCTACCGCAGGCGCCGCCCTCCAAGGGACTGTCGTCACCTCCTCATCTGCCCCAGGCGCAGGCCCCCAAGGGTCCATCCTCGTCTCCTCATCTGCCCCAGGCGCCGGCCCCCAAGGGTCGATCCTCGTCTCCTCATCTGCCCCAGGCGCCAGCCTCCCAGGGCCCGCTGCCTCCTCATCTGCCGCAGGGGCAGGCCTCCTGACTCTGCTGATCCCTGCCGCCTCTCCTGTGGTCCCTCAGTTCCTCTGGGCCCTCCCTCCGGGTCCCCCTCCTCCCGCCCTGCTCCTGGTTCCTGTGGGCGTCTGGGATCCGCCCTTTGAGGGGGGGGTACTGTCATGGTCTGCGTCAGCCCCCTTCCTTTATGTGCCTCCTGGTGTCCTCCATCCCTCTCTAGATTCCCTCTTGTGTCCCTTTGTTCCCCCAGCTCCCCTTGTGCTCTCTTAGCGCCCTCATGTGTCCTTGTCTGCATCCCTGTTATGTGTCTTATGTTGTAGCCCTTTGGCGCCCTCTTGTGTCCTTTTTCTGTGTCAGTTTCTGTGTGTCAGTTTGTGTGTCAGTCTAGTGTCTGATGTTATCTTTTACTGTTTCCTCCCAGGTCAGCTCCAGCCTCGTTGTCCCCAGCTCAGTGTGTGTGTGTATGTACTATGTCCTCCTCCAGCTAGTTTGTGTGAGTCCTTCCCTCTGTCTTTAGGAAATTGTTGTTTAGTTTTGTGTTAAGGTATTTGCCATCCTCTGTTTCTGTTTTCCCCATTGAGTTGATTACTGTCTCCTGCCTTCCCTCCAGCAGCTCACCCCACACACCTGCTTCCTGTTTCCCTGATTGCTCCTCCCAGTGTATTTAAGCCCTGTCTGTCTCTGTGTTCTTGTCGGTCCATTGTTGCTTGTCAGCGTTATTAGTCCTGTCAGTCTGCTCGTTCCTCTGGTGTTTTTTGACTCCCTGGATTCTTGGATTTTGGCTCCCTCCCTGTTCTTGGATTTATTCTTTATTTTGGACACATCCTACAATAAAAGGATTTTCTTTATTTCAATTCCTGCCTCGTGTCATCCTGGGTTTTGCAATTTGGGTCCTACTCTCCTAAACGTGACACTACCCCAGGAATGTGCAATGTCATGGTTAAAGGGCCATGGTCCAAAATGACAATAGGTTGAAACTCACAATCTGATACATTTGGGAGGAGTTTCTTATCTATAAAAAAATAATCTATTCTTGAGAATGACTTATGGACTGGTGAAAAAAAGGAGTAGCTCTTCGTAGCAGATGTCAAATGTCTGCTAAACCTGATGCCTGGGGAAAATTTTTAATGACCTCAGCTGACTTTGAACTGACTGCTGACTTGGGGAGCTGCGATCCAAAGCTGTGGAAAGAACGCAGTTCATATCCCCACCCAAAATAATATGATGTGAATCCATATTAGGCAATTGTGAAAAAAACATTGTTAAAGAAAACAGAATCATCCCAGTTCGGGGCATACATGTTTACCAAAATAACTGGAACTCCATGA